GCGTAACAATTTGACAGACTCTGGTCAACAATCCCAACACAAGGGTGAAGTGGATGAGAACGACAGTGTGGAGTGTGAAGGGTTTACACGAATGTAACTTCCGGTGAGACCAACTTACGAGCCCCTTCCACTTGCCTCTTCAAACGAAATGAAAGTTAATTGAATATATGAAGACCAAGATGTTGTGGCCTCTGGTGTGGTCGCAGTCTCCTTTCGATTGATAGAAGTGGGTTGATCTCGTTGTCGCAACTTGGTCTTGTTGTCAGGGTGACTTAGTAGAACGCGACTAGATACGAACTCGTATCTTGGTGGGGAGAATGGCAAGGCTCACTGATGATGCCGACTACGATTCCGGCGAAACGTTTGAGAATGTATCAAGTCCACCGTCAGATGCAGGGAAACAAGACAACTACTATCGCAGACGACTTCGGACTAGGTGCGTTCTACATAGTTTCAATGAACACAAGACCAAGTTGCGACGAGGTCAACCCACTACTATAAATCGAAAGGAGACTGCGACCATAACAGATGCCATAAAATTTTGGTCTTCATATCTTCCTAGATTTGACTGGATGCAGTGTTGGCAACCCTTTGGAGAAGGTTGCGTATGCATATAAAGCATTAACCGTTAAAACTTGCGCTAAAAATATTTTAAGAAATGTTATGGCTGTGAAACCTTCTTGTATTGCTTAAAGAGGAAGGGAATATAAATAATCACGAGATGTGATACAACTTACTCGTCTAGTCTGTGAGAATACCAAGACCTTATTGGCTTGATCCTTCCAGTTTTTGAGCAAGGCATCTACTACGATCATTTTAGTTGATCTCCGAGGACAGCCAAAATCCGACCAAGGATAGTACGTAGTATTTGGCCGGCACATCGGCGATACTTCTCTCTCTTTTACGTCCTGCTGCTCTTCATGCAGATTATTGGAGGTGTATTTTCGCTTCCGGTGGCGACGTGCCTTACACTCAGCTTCAGTCTCGAGGAGTTCTTGCTCAAGTGCAGCTGCTTCCTCGTCGACCGAAACAGATCCAAACAGCCGTGGTCCACCAGTAACCAGATCCGGGTGATTACATATTTTGCGTAAGAGTACGAGACCAGGGAAGACCTTCGTAGGAATGGGAAATATACAAGTAACATACAGCTCACTAATTAGATTAAACACCATATGCACTATAAAGGCAAAATATTATCAGGGGTTATACGTAATTGAAAGGCAAACGAATGCAGTGAGCCCAACGTTGCCGCGGCCTGCATTTAAGTGAGGGGTAGCGTGAGTATGGCTTCCAAATGATGAAAGCCCACTAGACCTGATGGGATGTCTAACATTATACGATAGCATCAAAGATGCTATGAAAGTATCATAAATGATTGAATGAGTCTCCTATGACTGTAAAAACTCGAATTGTACACAAAAACCCATGGAGTTTGGCAAGATAGGCAAAAATTGATGTAATACGATTGCTCTATATATCAGTCATACTGTCTAGAATAATAAAATAATAAAGAAATTAAAGTTCTCATCAAGACAAAGA